TCTATCATTACTGTGCGCTTTCTCTCATAAATACATGCGGGGTAATATTGGGCTGGTTTACATAAATTACACTTTATTTATAACAATGTTTATTCTCCGAATACACTGTTGAGTAACTTTCATTAAAACAACCATTCTGAACTACAGTCTGTCTGCTTGTATACTCGCGCTGTTCGAGTTTTACGTATTTCGATTTACTATTCAGAATGTTTATGTACTTACACAAAATTTACCGTATGAAAAAAAAAAAGAGATCGGAATGATATTTTATGATAATCTAGAATTGTCTAATTTAATACTGATAATGAAATCGATAAATCAATTCAAGCCATTAGATGAATACATATCCAATATTCCTAATATTGTTATATTTTTATGCAAATTATATTGTAACGTTTGAGTTTATTCCTATTAAAAAATAAACGACAAGTGTAATACCTCTTGAAAAATATCATAAAACGCTGATTTTTTATGCCTTTGAACTACTACTACTACTACTCCGTGAAAATTACCTTCTCTACTGTTTAATGCTCGACATTTTACCGCTTTTCATACATTATTTTTCAATGTTTTGATTGTTTCTCAAGTACATGCTCTCGCTTTTGTTGTTTTCATATATTACCCTCGTAAAAAATCATAAGTGATTAATACTAAATATTAATAAATTGTGTGTGTTTCTTTAGTAAAATCAATATAATATCTTACGATACTTGATATTTATTTTTTCAATAAAATACAATTTTTATAGTAAAAATTTGTTATGTAACCGGTTGTTTTTATCAGCATTGTGGCAATAATAATATTAATAAATAAACGATACTGTTCAATATTTAGGTAATAAGACATAAGGAAAGTAATTATACAAAATACACGCTAATTAAAATATTTTTATATATTATAATACGTTTTATCTATTTGTTCCTTTTAAAAAGAGAAATACTATTGGTTTTGTTCGTTTGTAATGTGTTTAACACGTCGAATATCTGCCCACGAATGTGAAATGTCAAGAAAACTCTACAACATCCTGAGTTGACATCAGCTTTAGAAGAATAACACTAAAAAAAATAAAACAAGTAAATGTCCCAAACTAAATAAAAACGATTGTGTAATTTGCTAGCGTCCACATTGAAATATCGTATACATTATTCAACGACAATTCGACTACAATATTCATTTAATTGTAACTCGTTTATTTTTATAAAAAAACGATTGTCGTGATGTTTTTGGTCAATCGTTTTTAAAAAACTATTGTGTTTCAACTGTAGTAAATTGATTGTCGGACGGAAATTTCATTAATTTTTTGTTTGTCGACTACTTGATAAAGAATCACGGATTTCAATTAACGTTATTAGTATTTTCGATTGTCTTCCGTTTCGTTTTTCATTAAATAATTAACGTCTAGCGGATATTATAAGCCATCGTGCCACTGACAATCCATTAGGGTCCAACGATTTTAATTTAATTCCTTCATTCCACGAGGAAATGCTACGGGATAACGGGATTTGACTGTTGAGGAGGGAATTACATCACTGCAAAAGCTGTAGTTATTGGTTTACTAGAAAATTCAACTCTTCCATCGTAGACGAGGTCAGACACGAGTATACATATTTACTCTGTCATGGAGACATACTATTGCTCTTGACGGCATACATTCAATAGAAGGGCTGGTGTTTCCACGAGTAGAAGAAATAGTAAATGTGGTGAGCGGTGACATATCACTTGTCCCGCACCACCAGTACTGTGAGCAAAGTTATAATGTCATTTTATTTTTTCCTTACAATATCTAAACACGTCGACTGCCACAAAAGAATTTCACGGCTTATTCAAAAAGCGAAACACTCTCACATGAGCCGTCACCTCCACGGCGTCGATTTTTGACTGCTGCCTTCCTCCGCTGTCGTCCATTCGATAAACATAATTCTATTTAGATAACACAGTTTTTACACAAACTTTCACCGATACCGTATTTTACTCGACGACGATTAAATTAACAGTTAGTCGTGGCTTTTTATTTTTGGATAAATAAATAAAAGAAGGGGGACAAACTGATAGATTATAAGCAGAACCTAATAAAATATGTCAAGTCATTGGTATCATTAACAGGGATCTTTATGGGGATTTAAGGGTTTACGACTTATCGTTAACATAACGTATATTTCCATGTATAATAGTAAATAATGGCGACCCGGTGCTCACCGCGGGGAGCCATCGCCGTCATGTGTTAAGACAATATTTTGAATTCCGGGATAGCTATTCCACTCGGTCCAATATGTTAGTACGTCAAAAGTGCTGGGCAAATCGATTTGTTTTGATCCGAAAACAAATTGTTATTACAGTCGTCTCCCTTAATTGTGTACTCCGCTTTTGTGCACAACGATAAAGCTAATTGTAAGCTCAACAAGTACGAAAATAAACAATGGCGTTCACTATGTTCCTATACAGATTGTACAATTATTCTGATGTGAGATTACGCTCCCTTTGTTTCTATTACAGACGTCTCGGCACATTAAATGCTGCTTGGAAAGCAACTAATGATATATACACCGTCCAAATGATAAACAACGTGCATCTTTCAACGGATTAATTATTTGTCAAATTTTAAATTACAATAACATAACCTTTTTTAAATTTGATGATATCACAAAAAAGTGTAATTACTTATCCGATCCCTATAATAATATGCCGCTAAAAAATGCGGTCTTGCCAAATTTTGCACGGCGCGTGACACTTGATAATATTTTAAACAAATATGTCTGATTTATAATCCAAAGTCGTGCTGAGCAACATTATTTAAATAATATATTTGTGTTTTGTTACCTCGTGACCAAATAATTAATCATTTTGTTCGAAGAAAACCTAGATAAAATTCGCGTACCTTAAAAAATTATTAAAATTAAATGATCGATGGATGGGTAAAATCGCACACGAACATTTCAGCAAGTCGTTCGACCGATATAAATGTCCGTGATAACATCATTATCGTACTCGTATTGGTTATTCGGTCTTACAAGAGGAAGAATGAACAAGGTCCCGATTCCGTGTAACAGTTTGCGTCACAGTTTTAAAAATCCGTTAAAAAGGTCACGGAACACCGAGTGTCGAAGTCTTCGGGGTGGCGACGTCATGTGGTCCTAGTTTTTGATAAACATACAATTTAAAAAAACGGCGAGGTCCACACAATAACTTACTGGAATATAAGGTTCGGGAGCGGATCTCGTGTCATTGTACTGTTGTTGCATAGTCGTCGTCGAATATTTTAACTCCGTGATAATGGCATCGATGGGATTCTGTTTAAAAACGAACAATTTTTAAGATAAAATACACAAACAAGTGTATTTAAAAATAAAACTGATCTAAAATAAAATATCGTGACTCGTGTGTTATTGTGAGCAATTAATTGAAATTTATGTGAGGTTATGTCATAATACCCTTCTAGAATGTCGCGTCATTTATTTTATTATATTCCTGTAACGTCTAGTGTTTCAGTGTTTCGTACTATTAACCGTTGTGAATATTCAATTACACTAATGTCGATTAATCATTCAGTACATTAAACCATTATTGAATAGTGTATTATGACAACGAATACTACCACACGGTGTAGATGATAATAATAATAATAATCAACAGTGGTTACGGTACCGCTCGTGGCAATTCTCCACGTCCTACAATAACACCCTTGTGGTATTCTTACTAAACGGTCTCCAAGCCATTGACGGATATACTGCAGAGGTGCCTCCTCTTTTTATAACCGCGTTTACGGTTTTTACGATATTCTGAGAACGCGTATTTTTAATACCTGTAAACGTACGGGATTCCAACCCCTGTCGTCTATTCATGGCGAAAAAAAAGAGACAATAAAAGCGGAAAACACAAGAGAGGTTTCCAGTTGACCAGACCGGATGATTGATGATGTTTTAATTCGGCGTAAATGCACTTGTTGCCCTTTATACGCGTTACGACGAGCCCTTAACAGTTAACGCACACACTACACGTACCCTTTTTTTATTTGGTTCGAGCACACGTCTTGTTGCAGGGGTTTCCAAAAGATAAAATATAAATTAACGACAGTAAGTACAATTTGTACCTATTCGCTTTACACGCCGGCGCTTTACGTGTAGTAATATATCAATACAAAGGGTATGCGTGTTCCAAAAAGATTTACCATCGTTACACGCAAAACAAAAAAATATTATTAAACCGGACGGTGACAATTAGTACACCAAGAGGAATTTTGAAA